CTTTAAATTAAATTATTAATCTGTAATTAATTATACTTACATCAAAATCAGAAGCAGTTTTTCTTAATGACACATTATGATTAATAACTCTATCAGCCGCCTGCTCAAACACCTTTGTTGACACAGTTCCTCTATCAGTCTTTCTAATATACGTGCGAACCATAATTGCAATTGATCTGTAAAAAATGTAATTCATTAATATTTCATGTGCATTACACCTTTTTGATGAACTTTGGGGCATGTTGTTACATGCTGTAACAACATGCCCCATATCGACATGGGATATAACAATGTCTCCATACTAATTCATCGTCAAACAACATAACTCAATGTTATCGTATACTAAGAGGTATTAACTATCGAAGTCTACAACTAATAAGAACAGTATCAAAACACAGTATATAAAGAGTAAATAGATGTTTCCTAGACATTTTTTTTTCTTTTAGTTTAGGTATGCAAAAACAGAAAATGTGCATACCTTTTTTATTTCGTGAGTGATCTTATTCATGCCGCCATTAAAACAAAGCTTGCGCAACACGTGTTCGATGGTCCGTGAACTATTGCCATCTATTTAATCTCAACAAGAGCTAGAGGCACTGTATCAGCTTGCCCCGGTCTCCCCAACTTTATAGAATTAATTCATACCTATTAAACAATTGGGTACAAGAATTAAACTGAGTAATGACAAATTTAAATGAATACTTTTAACAGAAGTATGTTTTTATAAAATTTCTAATCGTACAAATATTTACCAAAATACGAATAAAGATATTCTATAAATTTAAGTACTCCAGGGTTTTTAATTTGACAAGTCTTTCATAATAAATGTAGTAATTGGAATGTAACCATGTCAATGGAAATCTCAAATGGTTTTAGTGTATTAAACAGCAGTGTTTTTTTGTTTTTTTTTCCTACTCATCTTGAAGCTATATTTTGTTTTCCCCCCACAGGGTGGTCGTGAACTGGATGACTTCATTAAATACATCGCTAAACATGCGACCAATGAGCTGAAGGGTTGGAATAGGAAGGGTAAAAAGAAGAAGAGTGAACTCTAACCTTATGTTCATTTCAAACTTTCATTTTCATTACTCCCAGGTCATTGAAAACAGTTTTGACACCAGCCTTCTGTAATCAGCATCAGTGATTATAGACTTTTATGTATAGACCTGTAGATCAAAAGAGAAGGATGATCAACTTGGCAATCGGGCTAATATAAAATTCTTCTTGGTTCAGTTCTTGCATTAAGAATTTCATTTAATAAAATAACATGTTAAATTGTTTTATGTGTGTCTTCTATTGGTTATCAGTTGTTTACAACGTGAACACTAGTTTGTTCCCCTTACATAAAAAGAAATTTATAATGTTTAAACTGACTGACACTAACGTGTTCTTTTATTAAAGGGAGTACTTGCATGTTTAATGAATTTTAATTGCTTACATTAAAGTACTTGTGTGTAGGTGTAGTATACACTTTTAAATAGCATATAATTTAACTGAGTAAGGTCATGTTGAACATATTCTACAAATTGTCACTTTGTAAATATTCACACTACTAGTGTGTGAAAGTCCAGCTTATTCAATACCACGCTTTTCAATTCCCCTCGTTTGATACTATAGGTGGCGCCACAGGTTTTAACTGTGTAAGAGTGATATGATAAACTGAATTATGTATATTGCATATCTGTAGTTTAAAGTTGAAATTTATTAACGCAAAACTTCGCATTATATGCTGATTTAGAATGCAAACTGTATTAATTTTAATGTTCTGAATTTGAAAGATGTATCCATATTTCATTTTTAAGAAATTGTGATTTAGTGTAAATTTTGAATAGTTATTTTCTAACATGTTGGTTAAAACTTAATGTATATAAAAAAAAAATATGAAAGTTAAAACTATATTTGTCGTACTTTTAAATCATGCAGTTCAAAATGTTAGATTTGACACAAATAACGAGCATTATAAACTTGAGAAATATCTACGATTTGCGGTGAGATTATACGTTTAAATTTGTCAAAATGTGATCCTAATATATCGTTTTTAATGTACACTTTTACACAAAGCTCTACATTAGATCCATTCATTATTCCTTGATTTATTTTCTGTTCAATTATACATTATTTTATATTATCAGATGGCTGTTGAAACAACTCTGCGATAATTTTGTTAAAAATAGTGATGAATGTGCAGTCACCCCAGAATGTATATACAATATTCGATGACGAGGAACCCACTTTGAGAATAATAATGGTTGGAGACGGCTTGAATGGGTAATGAAGAAAAAAATTAACATAACAGCAAATGTACAACGTTTCGACAAGGTTTTGTCATCATCACGTATAAACAATATGATTGTTTAGTGGGCCGTTCAAGACCATTTTGTTATTCCAGAAGTCATTTCAATGAAGAACATTGTACTTAGTTTGATTTCAAGCAAATGAGATTGACTGCTTTGCATTGTTGGCAAAAATGTTTGGATTTTGATGCAATAATTGCACCCAGCACAATAGAGCTTTCACATTCACGAAGTAGTCACAAGGATTTTTTTTTCTACTGTATGCCACTGTTCCTTGTCATTTTATTAAGTGCAAGACAGGACTGCTACCAAAGTAAACGCTTTTTGACAGTTGTCATTTCTATAAGAAATGCCTATAACATTCACTACAACCAGGTTTCAACAAAAAAATATATTAAACTGTAACAACATTTGGAATGAAACTTGGCACTTACCAAAAACAGTTAATAAACACATGCCTGGGCAGGGCTTCATACCAATGTTAATAAACAATAAAATATTAATTATTTCAAAATAAAGGAATCGTGAAAAAGTAACAGAAGAAGACACACCTAATTCCACCAAAAAAATACGATATTCCAAAATTACCTTTCTATATTAAAAACAATATCGAATGACAAACCAATAATTCATTAACTATCTCATGCCTCGGTTTAGGAAGCTTATGGGCAGCATATTTATTCATTGCTTATGTCACGAGAGTACATCTCATGTGATCATAACTTTAAATTATTCTTTTGCTACGTTAATATCTGTAAGTCACCGCTACGGAAGCTGGTGCCAATTTCATAAAACAGGCATATGTATTTACTCAAACCTGATCGGGTACAAAGTGAGCTAGTGTTTTAATGTAACTAAAATTCACAGATTAAAAGATAGAAGGAACGATAAACAAAACCACTAAAAAGAAATTGAGTTTATTCAAAATGGTACAATAGTCGTGTATATAATGCCAGCACGATATGTGTGTGTATAAACCGAACAACAAATGTATACTCAAACACGTTTCTCTCGTTATTTGTTTGTCTATGTTCATGCTACTATCTTCGGAGGGCGTTCTTTTTTGTTTGTTTTTCCGGGTCAATATTTGGTATCGATATGAACATGAATCGTGTTCTTGTAGTGTACTCTAGAATATAAGTATTTTTATGTTTATTTGTTTTTCTACGCTTAACTGGTTAGGATACAGCGTGACAAACAGATATTTGGTAGGTAGACAAAACCAATGGAGTGAAAGAAAATAAAACTACTAAACAGAAACAATTATCATTTTATATACGTGTAATATCAGTTACACCTTGCGGTAGCATATTCTATTAAACTGATCAAACGGAAAAAAGTTTGAAGTTACTTAATAGTGAATAAATCTAAAACGTTGTCAATAGATGGCGGGGCAAGTTTATAACTCCCTAAACGTAGATTTTTTAAACCGCTTACAAAAATATTTGAATTTTATTTTCCCTCCGCTCCCATTTGTGGTATAAATTGAAAATTTAAAAGAAGTGAATACCAGAATAATAACTGTAGTCTAGTAAGAAGACCGCGTGTAATGAGTTTTCTTGTTTGTTTTTCCACTGATTGCTCAATTTTAAGACTCTCTCAGAAACCACAGCTACTCGCTAGTTACAGCTCATTCTTGCAACTTCTACAGTGAAGATGTTCATTCTCAATTCTACCCGTTTTAAGCCATTTTAATAAGTGATCACAAGAGTAATTTTTCGCAAGTACAATTTCAGAATGTCTCAACCATCGAACTTGGGATGTCCAAGGAAAGTCTTTGAACCATTTAGAATTGATATTAATGTTTATGAATATTTCTCGTACTTTTTAAAAATATCTCAATTTCTCGCTTTAAATGCTTTATTATACTACAAAGTTTCAAAGAACATCAGAACAAATATCATTAATACTGAATGTTAATTGCTCTTGATCCAAAGAAATGGGTTAAATTAGGATAAAGATTAAGTCTTATAAAGTTAGTCGATTACCAGAACTAAGGTTTATCCATTAAGATTATTGTATTCGTAGTTGTAACGTCATTTTCTTTCGGACCGAATGTGGATTAGTAGTTAGCTTGCTCAGACTGTGAATCCGAGAAAAAAAAAACAAAAAAACTTTAGATGTGTGTTCACAAACCAGTAACCAATAGAAATCAAAAATATATTTACAAAAAAGTATCGAAGTAATACAATATTTTTACAAGTCTATCGGAAACCAAACCCGTTAATATACATATATTTAAGAAAAAAATGTCTTTATTAACAATAAAAAAAAATTCAACTTTAGAAACCAAAATATTGAACGTATTACTGTGTGTTTCAGTAATCTATCAAATGCAACAATGGTTATGATTTTTATATACCACCCAAATAGGGTAAGGCAAAAGTTTAGTGTCCTCTTGTGACAAGAATCTTGCTTCTTAGGATCAACTGTGACATAGAATAAAACATAAACACGACAAATGTCATTTAAATGTAGTGTTATGGGGAAAAACAGTGAAAATAAGGCGAAATAAAAGATAAACAGAAAAATTTTAACGTCTTCTAAAATCTTGGATATTATCTTGTATATGAATATGCATCACAATCAGAACAATTTTTTAAGTAACATTAATGTTCGTACTTGCGTCTAACTCTATGAAAAATGGGTTGTGTAGTATACTATTTAACCAAAAAGAGACTTTTCATAATAAATAAAAAGAATCGTAGACACTGCATGTTTATAATGAATCATTAAATATTACATTGAGAACGGAATTGCATTGTTTCTGAACAATGTTCTATTTTTAGAGCAAAGCTTCTCAATGGGCTCTCTGCACTCTTTCCACTGTGGAAAATCACACCCCGGTATTTGAACTTAAACCTACCACTGACGCACTGGGGAATATTTCTGAACAACATTTAGTTATTAGCAATACATTACAAGTGATGTGACAGAGAAAAAAATCCTCTCCCCAGTGACTGTTTTTATTGACAAATAATTAAAATAATGCAACAGAAAAGGAGGGGCGAAAGTATAACCTAATAAGAGTGATGTAACAAGGAGAAAAGCGAAGGATAACATTTGATTTATTTTCAATAATAATTTAAAAGTGGTTAAAAACAGGAAAAATACTAATACTGCCAAACATTTAGGTAATAAGTTTGTTTGTTTTTAATTATGCACAAGGGCTATCTGTGCTCTGCCCACCACGGGTATCGAAACCCGTTTTCTAGCGTTGTAATTCCGCAGACATACCGCTGTGCCACTGGAGGGAGGGGGGGCTATTGGTAATAAATAAAAACTGTTACAACAGGGAAGTAAATAAACTAAACGCTGCAAAGTGAATCTAGCCAAATCAAAATAATTTAGGCTAAAACAATCGGATAAAAATACCGTTATATAATGTGACGGATATAGAAAGGGAGCGTGAGGACATAATCGAGTCAATTAAAGGACATTCACTTCTTTTTTCTTTTTCACTTTACTCAAACCAGGCCACAAGGAGGCTGAAAATACAAATAGATAATTACTGCCAAAAGGAAGTCGGCTGCTTTATTTTATATTTTTTTTTAGTAACCGGATATGACGTCAATTTCTATCTCTTATCGCTACAAATTGTTTTTAAAGAAACTATTTATTTATGTTGGCATAAAACTTATCAGTGATTTTAAGAGAACATAAGCGGATATTGATTTTAAACATTTGTTTATGAGATAAACAAAATAAAACAAATTAATTTTATCCAATAAGCCTAAAATTTGTAAAAAAAAATATTATGTAAACTGTATATGTTTTTTACAGCTTCCTTTTAATTTCTTCATTTTAAATTCAAAACCAGGCGTGTAAATATAGTGTTTCAGGTCCATCTTTTTCTCTCCCACAAGTCATTGTCCAGGAGACCTTTCGTCTGGACGATAAGAGCGAAACGTTCCTCTGATACGTTATTTATATATGTTGTATAATGCTTTAAAAGTTACGGTTGAAATGCCAAAGACTACCGAAGGATT